CCCCCATGAGAGACTTAAAAGCATATGCTAATACTCGCGTGTATGCACGTGTGAGAACGAATTTATGTAAATAAGCACATCTTTAATCCATAATCGTAAAATATGTGCTTTTATTTCGATTATTAATTTAATGGAAGATGAATATAAAAAGCGACTCTGGCACTTGTCTTGTCCTCTGATGACATAATGACATTTCTATACTAATTTTGCATAGTTATCTTCAAAATGCTTGAAAGAGTATGCCTAACTGAATTTACCACTGAATTAAAAAAAATGATGCCACTTTCAGTTTTTTCCCCTTGCTATAGTCGACCAAATTAATGAGCTTGTATCCAGGGGCTTAGTGGACAGCCATATTCAGGGCCAGATATTGGTGGATTTGGTAGGGATGCAACATCGAAGCTGTTGAGAAGGTGGATGGGTGTAGGAGCTATGTTTCCTTTTTGTCGTGGGCATTCTTCGAAAGATACCATTGATCACGAGCCTTGGTATTTCGGAAAAGAGGTTGGTCCTTTATTCACAAATAATTGACTAATTATGTATATGTGAAGTTCATATGTGAGTTTTTTTTGTCAAATGACGTTCGCGAGAATTTCACCGTACTTCTTTCTTTTCATTACTCTAATGTGACTACACAAAAAGAACTCCAATATTTTATGTAATTACGGTAAACTGACTGGTGCTGGAGAGATCGCAAGTGAGAATATAGTGAGTCCTTCACAAGGTTAATGCTATTGCATTGACGACGACGAACTCGTATACTTTTTCTTACATTGATATACAGTATTTTCTGAGCATTAGTTTAGTATGAATATTAGATATGAGAGAGTGTGTTATAGAATCATTTTAGGCCCTTCGACTACTAAGTTCCGTCTCATCTTTTACCTGAATTTTTTAACATGTCAGAGCGTGGTCATTCCAGGCGGTTAACTCTGTTTGGGTTTTCCACTGTCTTCATTTAATTGTTTGAAGTTGAAAGTTCCATGCAGACAGTTTCTCTTATTTTTAATGTAGCATGACTGAGTTTAGTGGAAGAACAAACTGAACACCAAAACTTCTTTATTTTTTATTAGTTCTGGAATTTAGCACACTCAAGTCCTCGTAATACCAATTATGTCAAGACCACCAGAAGTTGCAAATCGGCGACTGATTTTTACCTGCAACGTTATATCTTGTGCATTATAATTCTATTCTCTATGCTAATTTGTCTGAAGCAATCTTCGTGTACTGGTATAGAAATAACATCATGCTATTTCAATTGAATTTCTATTTCAATCTTCATGAAATTTCTATCCATGCATTTTCTTTAAGATTACTACTTGCTACTCTTCACTTCATCAAGTGTAAGTCTTTTATCTCTCACAGTGTGAAGAAGTTTGTCGATTGGCATTGATGAGGCGGTATCGGCTTTTACCTCACATATATAATCTGTTTTACTTGTCACATACACTGGGGATCCCTGTGGCAACTCCAACCTTTTTCGCCGGTACGTTCTCATGATGGCCAATTAACTGGGCTTCTTGACATTTGCAGTAGAGCAAATTCCTGTATGGTTTTTATAAGGGTTAAGATTCTTTTGCAGATCCTAAAGACATGAAGTTAAGAACACAAGAAGATTCATTCTTGTTGGGACCACTTCTCGCATATGTCAGGTTCTCACCTCTTTTGAGCTCGAAGTCAGTGACGACCGAAATATTTAGAATTAACACTCAATCAAATATGCTCTCTTTTACGAGTTCCACTTACTTTTGTGTTCATTATTTTTCATTTCATCTATAGGTGCCACAATAGGAAATATTACTCTTCTAAGTTCTTTTGGTTACTGTATTCGGTTTTGCAGCACGAAGGATGATCGAGAGTCATGTGAAATGCCGCACAAGTTGCCTCAAGGATTATGGTTAAGTTTTGACTTTGAAGATTCTCATCCGGTACTTCAAAATATCCTATTATACGACCTTTAATTTTAACTTGCATTTTCTTTTTGGCCAACGAGATCTCGCGAGTCCAAGGTATCGTGAACAAGTAATGTAATGATAAGTAAAGTGTCGTCCACGAAAACTATATACCTAATCCAGGTTTAATTAATGTAATTCTAATCGAATAGTCAAGTTAGCATGAAGAATTTTTGTAACTAATTATCTACTTTGCTAGTGAGTAATTAAGCAGGTTTTTATAAACTTGATTAAATACGCACTACGACTTTGGATTCTCCTTATTAATCCATTATGATGCAATTCATTACCGTGCAATATTTATTTATTTATTCTTGTTGTCTTAATAATCTCTCTCGAATAAAATTAAGCACATCATCTTATGTGACTTTCCTATAGCTTCATGAAAGATGCGAACATGAAAGCATGCATTGAAACTCTCGGACACTAATAAAAATCATGCAAGTCATAACGGTATATTCGTATACTCTACAGACCTCACAACAATAGTTACAACGTGCTATGTTTCTAATTATTTCTCTCAAAATTAACAAAAATCACACATCAATCAAATTAAACTATGCATTGATCAACAATTTGTGCCTAACTTTTCCCTATTGTCGTACTAGGATTTGCCATCCCTGTACCTAAAAGGAGGATCCATTATTCCTTTGGCTCCTCCTCATCAACATGTTGGTGAAGCTAATCGTACAGATGATGTAACTCTGCTGGTGGCTTTGGATGAACATGGTAATTTTTCTGGGTTATATATTTTGCTGGCACATATCACTACTTCTGTTGAAAGTTGCAAACAAATAATATTTCCCTTTTACTAACGAATTGACTGGACATTGGCGTATTTTTGAATCGATTCTCTTTAATCGCAGGTAAAGCTGAGGGTTTTCTCTATGAAGATGATGGTGATGGATATGAATATCTTAAAGGAGGATACCTGTTGACAACATATGTTGCTGAACTTCAGCATTCCACGATCACCTTAAGGGTTTCGAAAACTGAAGGATCTTGGGATAGACCAAAGCGCCGCTTACACATGAAATTACTAATTTGCGTTGGCACTTTGGTATGTATTCATCAGCAGTGTTCCATTTTTTTCGGTCAAGAGTTTGCTCGACCCAAGATGCAAATCTTCATTTTTTGAATCTAATTTTTTCGGTTTGTCAAATAGCTTGATGCGTGGGGTACTGATGGGGAGACTGTGCAAATCAAATTTCCATGGTGGACGAAAATGTAGAAAGTGAATAAAGTACTGAAAGTGCAGTGTGTGATGCGAGTGCAGAAAGTGATGGAAGCGATTGTCCGCTTGAGTGATCACAACACGTGTGTTCATTTGTTACCTTCCATATATAGTTCTTTTCAATAAGGTTTGCAATAATTATGGTTTGTAATAAGGGTATAAACCCCCTTGAGTTTACCTGTATAATAAATAATAAGAATCGTGGAGCAGACTCCCATTCTTCTTGATTTTTAACTCTTTGTTTCATTTGTGTTGTTGAGTTCACAGCATTAGCGTTGTTGGTTGCATTTTACATCTCCGTTTGGCTGGCAATTTATAAATGGTTTATAAACATAGTCAAAATTAAACATCCGTAATTGTTGCACATTTTTTATCCGCATATTTTTTTGGAACCCACTATTATTCTTTTTATTATTCTTCTTTAGAAAGATCAATAAATTTGTCAAACGGAGGATAAAAAACTCCGCAAAACACAAGGGAACAAATTTGTTAGGTCCACCTTTTGAAATAAAAAGTAGGATTGGGCTCTGAAAGTGGTTTTGCGGAAACAAAGTCTTCATTCAATATTTCAAACAATTGCAATGAGACTATAAGTACCGAATTATTGTCGGATTGAGAGAAAATCTCGAAACTGCGTTCTTCTATTCAATCAGGAGCCTGCTGAAGAAATAGTTGCTGCTGGCAGTTATAAGACCTAAGTCTATGGTTAATTGAAATTGAATAATTGATCTCTAAACTCATGGAAATGAATAAAATGAAACTAATAACTACGAATAAAGATATAAAATGAAAGGAGAATAGATATTAAAAATTGCTAAAACATAGGATAGAATCAGTCGAATACATCTTCCATTCTCCTCAAGTTGGAGAAGATTCACGCTCGAATCTTACATTTTATCTATGTACAAACAATGCCTTGCCGTAATAGTAACAGAAATTGATTGAATGAATTCAGCCGCTTTGTGGTTAATTGTGGGGGTGATAAAAGGCAGGTAAATTTGGTAAGGTGTTGAGAGAAATCGCTTGAGAAATGGCCTCGAATTAATGACCTCTCTAATTATTTGATTTATGGATACACGATTAAATTGCTAGTCTCTAGCAGCTAGCAATTCAAGTCCCAATAAGAAACATAGCATTAAATTATGGTAAAGAAACAGGTAAAACTATTTGAATACCTCAAACGAAGAGCTAGTAAAAGATCACCAATGCTATCAAGATTATTTCAGTTATAACCTAAAAAAAAATCATGTGTGCGTGCCGAAATCGCAGCCTTCTTGCTGCAAACCACAGTAAATATAGGCTTGAGAATTGCTCCAACTAGAAACTCAACACCATATCCTCAGGAGTAACTGAATAATTTAGTGTTAGGGAGTAGTCACGTGGAGTTAAAAAAACAAACAGACCCTCAGTTGTGAAAAGGTAAATAGAGGCAGTCGTGTTTCTGAAATTGTGAGCTTCGGTTGGTGTTTTCCTTTCTTCTACTCCTTCTTTATGAGTTGCAACCATTGTCACTTCCTTTGTGGGGGTAATCCTTTATGGAATCGAGTCCGTTAAGCTAGGAAACAAGAGGTCACACAAGTATTTTGGGTAAAGACTTCTATCGTTGGAGTGACCTAGGGTTTGATCAAACTGGGCCTGCTTTTTGGAATTATTGAAGACCATTTGGGAGCTATTTTGATCGACAATTTGCATCGGAGCAAAGGTTGGTACAAAGCAATAGACAGATGAAGATCATCGAAATTCATTGAACCGAAATTGTAAATCCATTTTTTGGCTAATCTAAATTCATATGATGAGGTAAAGCTGTCGTATCGATGCATGAGGCTTGTGGTGGCCTCGACATTGCGGCGCATGAAGCCCACGTGCGGGCACTATTGTTGCATACGAGGGCACGTAGTTTCTTTTTTGGGAAAACGTACAGAGGAAAGATTGTTCCTGGAAGTTTTACAGACATGCTGGTGGTGTTTTATTTTTCTCAAGAAACACGCTAGTTGAGAATAGTTTTGCCCTTGGTCGTTCGATTGCCATTTATTGTTGCTACAGTTGTTGAAAGCTCAAAGAAGAATAGTACTGGCCTTAAAGCTTTTAAAAGTTCACATCTTTCGTTAAATTTATTGATCAACAAATTTTTTCGCTCAGTGTCGTGTTCTTTCTATATTATTATTGTAGTCGAGGCTATCGTGTGGGATAGCCAATTACTTTTTGCATTAGAGGTTATCATGTAGGGTGACATTAGGTGTGTGGAGTAACCATTTCTTGTTGCTAATCTGTTACTAGGTGGCTACTTCTTATTGGTAATTTGATGACTGAATTCGATTAAGGACCACGTTTTTTTTTTATTTTGTCCATGTGCCCCTTAATATTAGCCTGGAGCCAGCCTAGATATGGGATTAGTTCGCATTTGGATATTCGAACCCTTTGCCTTTCTCTTTGCTTTGTCTTTTATTTTATTTTGTCCACGATATGCTTTTGTCCATGGATCGCTCTTTGTAGATTAGCAAATAGTCCCCCAAGTCCGGTTTTACTATTTATATTGAATCTAGGACTTTAAACACTGTTTTTAGTTGATGAGGCTCTTGAGAGCTTCCTTTTTTACTCGACCTTTCTATTGGTCAAGTTGAATGTGGGAGACTTATAGGCCATTAGTTTTGATTGATAAGCGTAAATGAGTGTTGTTCGGTTTTTTCTTGATGTATGGCTTGCGATCTTCTTGGGCGCTTGGATTGCACGTTATCTATCCCGGGATCTGAATAATCACCTATTTATCTTTAACGGTTAATATCCTTAGTTAGAATCTATAAATATGTCATTACTTCAGTTGGTCTCCCTTTCGTGCTTCTTTACTTCTTTTGAACAGTGATAATATTTCTCATTTTGAGCTTACAGTCTTAGCCTCTTTTCGTGCCATGCCTTCTCATGCTATTTTCTTCTAATGCATCTGGTGATTCAGGTTCAAGCAATATGATATTTTTTAGGTATCAGTTAGATCAAATGTGGGTGTTAGACCTCCATTCCAGAGGTGGAGGTATTCGGGTAAGCTTTTTCGCAAATGACACATTCGCACTATCGTCTCTCTATTGATATTTTGGTTTCTTTAGCTTGCGAGAAATGATGTGAAACATAATGGAATAAGCATGGACTCTCGAAAGATCATTTGGAGATTCTATCATATGATTGCACTTCTTCGCATGGGTCATCTATTCAGGCATGTTCGCTGGTAGAGAGGCATGGATATTGCCGCTCTCTTTGGCATGTCGTTGAAGCTTCCTCCTCCGCCCTCCATTTCCTAGTTTTTTGGCACACTCCATCAATGGGATTTTACAAGATCAGCACTGACGAAAACATTAAGGATGGAATTGCGAGTGGTGGAGGCATTATTCGGGTCGCTGCGTTCGAGCTTTCTTGACATCTTATGGGGACTATACCATCCTGGAGATGGTATTTTACTTGCTCGATGGCTAGGATTATCTGATATGTGGATGGAGACTGATTCACCTATGACTGTACATTGTATCACCAGGGGTAGAGGTCTATGCGTGACATAGATTATTTTGAGACAGGTCCGACACAATCTTTCTTTGGTTTGCGACTTTACTCCTAAATTTAATGAATTCACTTGCATTTTTAGGTTAGAGCCTGTGACATTATCAGGAGTATGGTCCTTTAGACCTTCCATGGGTAGAGAAGCCATTTTTCCAGCTTTTGCCTTGACTTCAAAAATTCATAACTCGACCGTTACTTGGAATTTATGGATAAAACCAATTGGATTTGATAGTCTCATGGATTAATACTAAATAAATTTAAAATCATGTGGTTTGGATGTTTGTGGAATTTTATGTCACTTTAAGTGAACTGCACCAATTTACCTTTCAACTGGGCCGCTGCTGGGTTTCGAAAATCATTTTACTACCTCATAAGATGCTGACAGAAGCTAGTTTTTGACTATGTTAAGGATTTTCCCACTTTACATTAAAATTTGATGAAGTTTTGAGATCGATAGCTATGCAAACAAACCTATTTTGTCATTTACCGTTTGAGACAAAAACTAAAACAACAACATTACTTTTGAAGTTTTGCCAAAAATTTCAAGTCAATAGTCGTTACATGCAGGGAACCCATTCGAAAAAAATTTTGAAATTTTTTTTTTTAGTATTGAATTATTGTTAAAAAAATAAAATTCTTCAATTAAATTCTAAAATTTAATCTTTATACCTTCCACTAAAAATATAGTTAGATAAATTTATGGCTAAAGTACAGTTAATCTCGTGACATTTCGATCCATGCGGGTCGAGACTTTACATATTTGTACACTTCCAAGTATTTAAAATTTGATAACACAAGAACTTGAGTAATTATTGTGTGAAAGATTGGAATATACTTTGTTGTCTTCCCTAGTTTGGAACATATGTTGCTGTCTTCCTAAGTTTGGAACATCTTGTGCAATATATATATATATGATGATAAAGAGGTTGATTGGTGAAAGATTAGTAGTATCTATGATGGCAGAGAATAAAGAGATACTAACAAGCCCTAAGGCGCAAAGCCATAAAATGATATCCAAACCAATTCTCGAGAAAGGAGTTTTTCATTTTGATTGTTCTGTGCATGATAGAAATCATGCATTACCGAGCCTTTCTTTCAAAAACCGAAAAGATAGGGATACACCTATTACCAAGTTTCATGATCCAACCTACATTCCGACATTTCAACGTGTTACGGGAGAACAGAGAGTCAATATCAAGGTAATATTATTTATCATCATGCTTCCGCGTGTTACGTACTTGGATATTGTTGAAACATTATCCTGTTTCGATTCCATAAGTTTTTATAAGTTTAGATATCTTAATATACTGGTTGAACTCTTCTGCATTTTAGCTGCTAGCTGGTACCTCTTTTATGGAACTGGAGAAGTAAGTGGGAGTCTAGAGCGTACTCGAATGAGAGTAAGCTATTTGATCCAAGTATTCGGTCACTAATTATAGTTTTAAACTGGTCTTGAAGTACTTTCTATTTTTATTATAAACGGATTTTTACTTGGAATACTGACTCGTACGGCTGTGGCGTGGAGACAACTTCCTTGTATCAATCCCATCCTTGGGTTCTAGAGGTTCTTCCCGACGGAAAATTATTAGGGGTTCTTGCAGATACTACAAAAAGATGTGAGGTACTTGTGATTTCTTGGTTATTTTGTGTGATCAATTGTAAGACAAAATGGCCTTTTAGAATTCAACTTGTTGCTCGAGCAGATTGACTTGAGGAAAGGCATCACCATATCCTTTCATCACATTTGGTCCATTTTCTTCACCAGCAGATGTTCTTATGTCTTTCTCCCATGCTGTGGGTAATTACCGATCATCACACTCTTTAATTTTCCGGTTGTTCTAAATATTTTTCTTATCTCTACTTACCGGTATTTGGGACTGTATAGAGCATAATCTTACTGACCACTCTGGGTATATTGGCAATCATAATGTTTCCTTTTCTGCTTCCTTTGTAAATGAATTTCACAAATGGCCCGACTTTCAAGTGTTATTACCAAATTTTAAACTAAGACTGTGCTTTTTCTAGTGCTATGTTCTTCTTGTAGTCTTCCCCTTCTTACTACCCACAAGTTGAGTTGCAGGTAAAAATATATAATAATGCCGTCTTTTTTACTTTCTGTAGAATTTGAATTCTACAAAAATTCTAATATGTCAGTACGTAATCCACGATCGAATTTCTCTTTCGTCACATTTTATTGTTGTCTTGCTCTATCTACGTACTTTTCCTACCGCTTTTATTTCATTGAGGAATTTTTCTACCAGGTACTGTTTTTATGCCACCCAAATGGTCACTGGGCTATCAACAATCTCATTGGAGCTACGCTTCTAATGCACGAGTTTGCGAGGTTGACCATTTATAGTGTTTATATTTCTTATTTGCATAGATTACATGGATGGTTTTCAATGTTTCACATTTGATCAGGCATGTTCCATCTCTTAAAACTTGGTTTGTTCCAGAGATGAAGTATGAAAAATAATTAAAAGCTCATTAGTTCCAGACATGAATTATAAGACCTACATTTAACGTGTAGGACCAATTTTCGGATCCAAGGTCTCTTGTAGACTATCTTCATCAAAATGGTTTCAAAGTGTTGGGAAAACACCTCCCAATGAATGCCCAAAGATCAAACTAAGTTGGCAAAGTGAAAATTTCCAAAACACTTTAAGAACAAGAAGATGAGGAAGAAATGATTTCCAATAGAATATATGAAATTCAATGTGTTTGGATTACTTGAACAAGCCTCAAGTTAATCCCCAAGAAAGAAAAATACCTTTGAATTTATACCCAAGATGAACACCTTCAACTTGTAAAATTCTCTCCAAAGTTTTCTCTCTTTTTTCTCTAGGTCTTGGGTTGTGTATGTTGTGTTTGAAAGAGGGAAAAAATGCATATATATATATACATGCCGGGGCGCCTAGGCGCCATGGAAGTGGCGCCTAGGCGCCAATATTCTGCTTCCCTTCTGCATTCGGGGCGCCTAGGCGCCTGGACATGGCGCCTAGGCGCTGTCCATGCAGCGCCTAGGCGCTGCTTGCCTTCTTTTCCCTTTCTTCTCTTCTTGCTTCCCTCCTTCTCACACAAAGCAAACTGGATGCTTGACCCAAGGATCAAACATGAGGATGGCTACTTCGTCTATGACAGTGGTTCTGAAAAAGATGTCTGGGTTCAAACTGCTTGTCAGGAGCCACTTGTAGGTACTTATAATACTTCCATCCCACCTCACATTCCTGTAAAAAAAACCAAAAAGAAATGAAAAAAGAAAAAAAATAGAAGGAAGCAGAAAACTAAAAAAGCGTGAACTGGCCTCGGTAAAATTTTTGTTTGTTTGAACTTTTACTTCTTTTTTGTCAATAGTTAATTTTAATTTTATTTGCTTCTATCTTCAGGGAAGGTGTGGCCTGGGCCGTGTGTATTTCCTGACTTCACAAGATCAGAAGCCCGCTCGTGGTGGGCTAGTCTTGTCAAGGACTTTGTTACTAATGGTTTGGATGGTTTATGGAATGATATGAACGAACCGGCAGTTATGGAGGTGAAGTTCAAACTTTGTTAGAAGTGCATTTCTTTCTTGGTTTTGCGTGACTTGTTTTGTTGCAGACTCCAACGAAGACAATGCCTGAGAGTAATAGTCACAGGGAAGATCCACAACACGGAGGCAAATAGAACCATTCACATTATCACAATGTAATGCTTGGTCCTGAAATCTTCTTTAAGTAATTCAAATTTACTCATTGATATGCTTAGTGTAGCTTTTTAGTTTGCTTACTGCATAGAAAAATAATCTACTAATTAGTGATTTTCTTTCAGATCATGTATGATGCCTGAATTGCCATTCACTGATTTCAGTTGCTTATTCCAGGGTTATGGTATGCTGATGGCAAGATCAACATATGAAGGCATGAAACTGGCCGAAGAACAAAAACGTCCATTTGTTCTTGCTCGAGCTGGGTTTGTGGGTAGCCAAAGGTATGCTGCTACGTGGACAGGAGATAATCTCTCTACTTGGGAGCACCTTCATATGAGTATCTCTATGGTTCTTAATCTGGTAAGTGAAAGATATTGCCAAATATGTCTTTGAAAACCATAAAGGATACCAAATTCTTTTGTTTTTTCAATGCGCCACTATTCCGGACTCTTTAACATTTTTACTTTTGGTATCATCGATGCTCATACCTTGGGTTCATTTATCTCCAACAGCACATCACTAAATCTTTCTTTTCTAGAATTCCTATCTTTATCCCATATATTATTAACCTTTTATCAAATGGATGTTCACATGGACACTGATTGGTGAGAGATAATTGAGATATATAACATAATATTGCCTTAAAAAGCTTGGGAATGGGCAAAATGATTAAGAAATCCACCTCGGATATTTATATCGTATCTTTTATTAGTTAGGGGACGTGAAAGAAAAAATTAACATCCATAGTAATTAGAAGACAAAGCCCATGTTTGGTATGAATATTAGTTATGAGAGAGTGTGTTATAGAATCATTTTAGGCCCTTCGACTACTAAGTTCCGTCTCATCTTTTACCTGAATTTTTTAACATGTCAGAGCGTGGTCATTCCAGGCGGTTAACTCTGTTTAGGTTTTCCACTGTCTTCATTTAATTGTTTGAAGTTGAAAATTCCATGTAGACAGTTTCTCTTATTTTTAATTTAGCATGACTGAGTTTAGTGGAAGAACAAACTGAACACCAAAACTTCTTTATTTTTTATTAGTTCTGGAATTTAGCACACTCAAGTCCTCGTAATACCAATTATGTCAAGACCACCAGAAGTTGCAAATCGGCGACTGATTTTTACCTGCAACGTTATATCTTGTGCATTATAATTCTATTCTCTATGCTAATTTGTCTGAAGCAATCTTCGTGTACTGGTATAGAAATAACATCATGCTATTTCAATTGAATTTCTATTTCAATCTTCATGAAATTTCGATCAATGCATTTGCTTTAAGATTACTATTTGCTACTCTTCACTTCATCAAGTGTAAGTCTTTTATCTCTCACAGTGTGAAGAAGTTTGTCGATTGGCATTGATGAGGCGGTATCGGCTTTTACCTCGCATATATAATCTGTTTTACTTGTCACATACACTAGGGATCCCTGTGGCAACTCCAACCTTTTTCGCCGGTACGTTCTCATGATGGGCAATTAACTGGGCTTCTTGAAATTTGCAGTAAAGCACATTCCTGTATGGTTTTTATTAGGGTTAATATTCTTTTGCAGATCCCAAAGATATCAAGTTAAGAACACAAGAAGATTCATTCTTGTTGGGACCACTTCTTGTATATGCCAGGTTCTCATCTCTTTTGAGCTTGAAGACAGTGACGATCGAAATATTTAGAATTAACACGCAATCAAATATGCTCTCTTTTACGAGTTCCATTTTCCCTCTTACTTTTGTGTTCATTATTTTTCATTTCATCTATAGGTGCCACAATAGGAAATATTACTCTTCTAAGTTTTGTTGGGTACTGTATTCGATTTCGCAACATGAAGGAAGATCGGGAGTTGTGTCAAATGCCGCACAAGTTGCCTCAAGGAATATGGTTTAAGTTTTGACTTAGAAGATTCTCATCCGGTACTTCAAAATATCCTATCATACGACCTTTAATTTTAACTTGCATTTTCTTTTTGGTCAACGAAATCTCGCAAGTCCAAGGTATCGTGAACAAGTAATGTAATGATAAGTAAAGTGTCGTCCACGAAAACTATGTACTTAATCCAGGTTTAATTAATGGTAATTCTAATCGAATAGTCAAGTTAGCATGAAGAATTTTTATAACTTTGCTAGCGAGTAATTAAGAATGTTTTTGTAAATTTGATTAAATACGCACTATGACTTTGAATTCTCCTTGTTTGTCCATTATAATACAATTCATTACCGTGCAATATTTATATATTTATTCTTGTTGTCTTTATAATATCTCTCAAAGAAAATTAAACACATCATCTTATGTGACTTTCCTATATCTTCATGAAATATGCGAACATGAAAGCATGCATTAAAACTCTAGGACACTAATAAAAGTTATACAAGTTGTAACAATATATTTGTATACTCTACGGACCTCACAACATTAGGTATAACGTGCAATGTTTCTTATTATTTCTCTCAAAATTAACAAAAATCACACATCAATCAAATTAAACTATGCGTTGATCAACAATTTGTGCCTAACTTTTCCCTATTGTCGTACTAGGATTTGCCATCCCTGTATCTAAAAGGAGGATCCATTATTCCTTTGGCTCCTCCTCATCAACATGTTGGTGAAGCTAATTGTATAGATGATGTAACTCTGCTGGTGGCGTTGGATGAACATGGTAATTTTTCTGTGTTGTATATGTTGCTGGCACATATCACTACTTCTGTTGAAGGTTGCAAACAAATAATATTTCCCTTCTACTAATGAATTGACTAGACATTAGTGTATTCCTGAATCGATTCTCTTCAATCACAGGTAAAGCTGAGGGTTCTCTATGAAGATGATGGTGATGGATATGAATATCTTAGAGGATACTTGTTGACAACATATGTTGCTGAACTTCAGCATTAAAGATTTCAAAAACTAAAGGATCTTGGGATAGACCAAAGTTGCCACTTACACGTGAAATCACTAATTTGCATTGGCACTGTGGTATGTATTTATTAGCAGTGTTCCATTATTTTTCGGTCAAGAGTTTCCTTGACCCAAAATGTAAAATCTTCGTTTTTTTTAATCTAATTTTTTTGGTTTGTCAAATAGCTTGATGCATGGGGTACTGATGGGGAGACTGTGCAAATCGAATTTATATGGTAGATGAAAATGCTGAAAGTAAATAAAGTACTGAAAGTGCAGAGTGCGATGTGAGTGTAGAAAGTAATGGAAGCGATTGTCCGCTGGAATGATCATAGCATGTGTGTTCATTTGTTATCTTCCATATACAGTTCTTTTCAATAAGGTTTGCAATAATTCTGGTATGTAAATAAGGGTATAAACCCCCCTGAGTTTACTTGTATAAGAAATAATAAGAATTGTGGAGCAGACTCCCATTCTTCTTGATTTTTAACTCTTTGTTTCATTTGTGTTGTTGAGTTCACATCATTAGCGTTGTTGGTTGCATTTTACATCTCTGTTTAGCTAGCAATTTATAAATGGTTTATAAACATAGTCAAAATTAAACATCCGTAATTGTTGCACATTTTTTATCCGCATATTTTTTTGGAACCCACTATTATTCTTTTTATTATTCTTCTTTAGAAAGATCAATAAATTTGTCAAACGGAGGATAAAAAACTCCGCAAAACACAAGGGAACAAATTTGTTAGGTCCACCTTTTGAAATAAAAAGTAGGATTGGGCTCTGAAAGTGGTTTTGCGGAAACAAAGTCTTCATTCAATATTTCAAACAATTGCAATGAGACTATAAGTACAGAATTATTGTCGGATTGAGAGAAAATCTCGAAACTGTGTTCTTCTATTCAATCAGGAGCCTGCTGAAGAAATAGTTGCTGCTGGCAGTTAAAGACCTAAGTCTATGGTTAATTGAAATTGAATAATTGATCTCTAAACTCATGGAAATGAATAAAATGAAACTAATAACTACGAATAAAGATATAAAATAAAAGGAGAATAGATATTAAAAATTGCTAAAACATAGGATAGAATCAGTCGAATACATCTTCATCATTCTCCTCAAGTTGGAGAAGATTTAAGCTCGAATCTTACATTGTATCTACGTACAAACAATGCCTTGCCGCAATAGTAACGAAAATTGATTGAATGAATTCAGCCGCTTTGTGGTTAATTGTGGGGGTGATAAAAGGCAGGTAAATTTGGTAAGTTGTTGAGAGAAATCGCTTGAGAAATGGCCTCGAATTAATGACCTCTCTAATTATTTGATTTATGGATACACGATTAAATTGCTAGTCTCTAGCAGCTAGCAATTCAAGTCCCAATAAGAAACATAGCATTAAATTATGGTAAAGAAACAGGTAAAACTATTTGAATACCTCAAACAAAGAGCTAGTAAAAGATCACAAATGCTATCAAGATTATTTCAGTTATAACCTCAAAAAAAATCATGTGTGCGTGCCGAAATCGCAACCTTCTTGCTGCAAACCACAGTAAATATAGGCTTGAGAATTGCTCCAACTAGAAACTCAACTCCATATCCACAGGAGTAACTGAATAATTTAACGTTAGGGAGTAGTCGCGTGGAGTTAAAAAAACAAACAAACCCTCAGTTGTGAAAAGGTAAATAGTGGCAGTCGTGTTTCTGAAATTGTGAGCTTTGCTTGGTGTTTTCCTTTCTTCTACTCCTTCTTCGTGAGTTGCAACCATTGTCACTTCCTTTGTGGGGGTAATCCTTTGCGGAATCGAATCCGTTAAGCTACGAAACAAGAGGTCACACAAGTATTTTGGGTAAAGATTTCAATCGTTGGAGTGACCTAGGGGTTGATCAAACTGGGCCTGCTTTTTGGAATTATTGAAGACAATTTGGGAGCTATTTCGATCGACAATTTACATCGGAGGAAAGGTTGGTACAAAGCAATAGACAGCTGAAGATCATCGAAATTCATTGAACCGAAATTGTAAATCCATTTTTTGGCTAATCTAAATTCATGTGATGAGGTAAAGCTACCGTATCGATGCATGAGGCTTGTGGTTGCATCGACATTGCGGTGCATGAAGACTACGTGCGGGCACTATTGTTGTATACGAGGGCATGTAGCTGCTTTTTTGGGAAAACGTACAGAGGAAAGATTGTTCCTGGAAGTTTTACAGACAAACTGGTGGTTTTTTTTTTTTCGAGAAACACGCTAGTTGAGAATAGTTTTGCCCTTGGTCATTCGGTTGCCATTTATTGTTGCTGTAGTTGTTGAAAGCTCGAAGAAGAATAGTACTGGCCCTAAAGCTTTTAAAAGTTCACATCTTTCATTAAATTTATGGATTGAGAAATTGGCTCGCTCAGTGTCGTGTTCTTTCTATATTATTAATGCAGTTGAGGCTATCGTGTGGGATAGCCATTTACTTTTCGCATCAGAGGTCATCATTGTTGCTAATCGTGTTACTAGGAGGCTACTTCTTATTGGTAATTTGATAATTGAATTCAATTAACGACCACATTTTTTTTAATTTGTCCATGTGCCCTTTAATATTAGCCTGGAGCTAGCCTAGAAATGGGATTAGTTCGCATTTGGATATGCGAACCCTTTGCTTTTCTCTTTCGTTTGTCTTTTGTTTTATTTTGTCCACGATATGCTTTTGCCCATGGATTGCTCTTTGTAGATTAGGAAATAGTCCCTCAAGTCCAGTTTTACTATTTATATTGAATCTAGGACTTTAAATACTGTTTTTTGTTGACGAGGCTATTGAGAGCTTCCTTTTCTACTCGACCTTTCTATTGGTGAAGTTGAATGTGGGAGACATATAGGCCATTAGTTTTGATTGATAAGCGAAAATGGGCGTTGTTCGCTTTTTTCTTGATGTATGGCTTGCGATCTTCTTGGGCGCTTGGATTGCACGATATCTATCCTGGGATCTGAATAATCACCTATTTATCTTTAACGGTTAATATCCTTGGTTAGAATCTATGAATATGTCATTACTTCAGTCGTTCTCCCTCTCGTGCTTCTTTGCTTCTCTTGAACAGTGATGAGATTTCTCATTTTGAGCTTACGGTCTCAGCCTCTTTTCGTGCCATGCCTTCTTATGCTATTTTCTTCTAATGCATCTGGTGATTCAGGTTCAAGTAATATGTGTTGCGGAAGCTCTCTCTAAAGGATCTTCAAATGGTGGTTTTCCAGGCTCAGTCCAACGTACCTTTCTCTACCAACAACCAATCCAAACGGCTCCAAACCACAACCAATTGATTCACCTTGGTTTCTATACAATCTTACCCACGTAGGACAAGAAGGGATGATGATTTATGGCCACAAAGGCTAGGAGAAGACACCACAAAGGTATACTATGAAAGAACTACCAATTGCACACGTTATACAAGCGTTTTGGACACTTCTGGACACCTTTTTCTCACACAAAAGGGGGACAGCCGGGATTCACTAGTTTCTTCTCTCAAAATCACACAATCATCATCACAAAGAGGCTAGGGTTATATTCATATATATACTCTAGGGTTAGGCTTTAAGTTGGGCCATTAAACGGGTAAACGGGCCAAGATTCAAGCCATCCACAAGGAATACAATTGGGCCGGGTGTAGCTCATGGATTTGGTTGTTGGACGTATTTCATTCATCGGTCTATGCCTATGAAATAATATTAACCCACGTTAACATCATAGCCCGGGATTTATTGGGTATCAAAAAACTCAACAATATGATATTCTTTAGGTATCAATTAGATCAAACGTGGGAGTTAGACCTCGAATCCAGAGATGGAGGTATTCGGGTAAGTTTTTCCGCAAACGACACATTCGCACTATAGTCTCTCTATTGATATTTCGGTTTCTTTAGCTTGCAAAAAATGATGTGAAACATAACGGAATACGCATGGACTCTAGAAAGATCATTTGGAGATTCTACCGTATGATTGCACCTCTTCGCATGGGTCATCTATTCGGGCATGTTCGCTGGTGGAGAGGCATGGATATTGTCGCTCTCTTTGGCATGTCGTGAAGCTTCCTCATCCGCCCTCCATTTTCTAGTTTTTCCATCGATGAGATTTTACAAGATCAGCATTGACGAAAACATCATGGATGGAATTGCGAGTGGTGGAGGCATTATTCGGGTCGCTGCGTTCGAGCTTTCTTGACATCTTATGGGGACTATACTATCCCGAAGATGGTATTTTACTTGCTCGATGGCTAGGATCATCTGATAGGTGGATGGAGACTGATTCACCTATGACTGTTCACTATGTCACTAGGGGTAGATGTCTATGCGTGACATAGATTATTTTGAGACAGGTCCGACACAATCTTTCTTTGGTTTGCGACCTTATCTCCTAAATTTACCTAAAATGAAACTAGGTTACTATTTCACTTGGGGCCTGTGACATTATCAAGAGTATGGTCCTTTAGACCTTCCACGCGATCTTCGAGCTCTTGTTTAGATTGATAGACATTATTCTCCAAACATTAGAGTGTAATAGTCTAATTTTCATTTGCCTGCATTGTATGAGAAGTAGTGCTTCTCCAATTTTTCCTTTCCTTCACATGCGTAATTTGTTAAGATGTCTATGCATCATTTTTTTATTTGAGTGCTCTTAACGACAAAGTTAATTTTTCTATTTGGCAGCAAAGAATTAAAGGAAATTTGATACGACAAAATGTGTGATAACTCTTTTCAAGTACTATGGACGAGGATCAGAAAAAGGAATGCGATAAACTCGTATATACCTCTATTGTCTTGCATTTTTGGCTCAGTTTTGCATAAAGTGGGTAAACATGATTGAACTGAAAAACATTGAAAAAAGTTGGAAGTAAACTTTTCTTATTTGAAAGTTTCTTTAGTTTTAAAATTGATCCCCCAAAGGGATTGGATGTCAATCTTGACGTTTTCAGTAAACTCGTGCAGGATATTACTTATTGCGGTGAAAAGTCATGTGAAGAATATAAAGCTATAATCCTTTTGAATGCTATTACTGACATGTATAAAGAAGTCAAGAATGCACTCGCACATGGGAGGGAGACTCTGACACCTATAGTCATTGATTCCCAAAAGATGAAGAAGAGAGGTGAGAACTGGAAAAAAAACTAGGGAAATAACGGAATGATTCACCAAACTGGAGGTATGTCTCGAATTAGGAATGGAAATTGGCAAAGTAGTAATGGCAGGAAGAAGGGTAGAGGTCACTCTAAATCACAGGAAAATTGAAAGGGGAAGAAATATTATGGTTGTGGTAAATTAGGACATTTTATAAGCGATTGCAATAAAGAGAAAAACATATTGAGAGATAAGAGAGGTATGGATCAGAATGATGCAAATGTAATGATCCCTAGAGATGAACTTGTTGAGGTTTACGTGTCTTAAATTCTGAACCAACTGAAATTAACCTGCCCATGAGCTCCCATATACGAGTAGACGTTCGACTTTGGTGCTTCTTGTCATGTTATATCAATAAACATTAGTAT